CGTAATGAAAGGTGGAAATAAGGGTGAGCCACATTAAAAATTTCATTCTCATTTTTCTATTCATTTTTAACTACACATTTTCAATAAAATAATATTTTTCATCGCATCAATAATTTTTCCTTCTTTTTCAGTAACATTTTAACCATCAATCTAGAATTTCAAAATACATTCTTTGAAAATAATATGGCTCAAAAACACCCTTACAATAAAAGATGGGGACGTTATGTGTGCTAATTAACCCTTTTAATTTTACCATCGAAAAGCTTCGTCCCGACCAATTGCTGTATATGCGCGTGAAAGCAGTTGTCTGTAAATTTCTCTACTGTTACAATATCATACACGTGTCCTTGTTCTGGAAACTTTCCATTTCACCGGTTCAAAACACCATGATTGCTAGGTGTCCACTTACCCACAGCAATGCTCGACGGGTCGCAACGTCCTATTGGTGAAGTACTGGGTCCCACACACAGAACAATTTTTTTGGTTGAGTGGACCCCATTATCTGGGACCCACAAATTTTTTAGCAAATCATGCTCATTTATGTGTCATCATATTGTCCACAGCAGTTACCTTTATTCATTTTCTTGCTATAAATCAAACTTCAGATCCCCCAATGAAAAGCCCAAGTAAATATATACACATACAAACACACTTGTATATAGTTAAAGAGAGAGAAGGGTTGTTGATTGATCAGAGTTAGGGGTGATGGGGTACCCCAAGAACACCACTGATTACACTAGGTAAGTATATAATAATGCTCAAATTCCGGCCAATTGCACCCAAACCCGCCGGCGGAGAAGCGGTTACTGGCGCAGTGTTGCAAGAGAGAGGTAATATTTCCACAAGAAATGGAAGAGCGAAGAGAAAGTACGTAAGGGTTCGACGACGGCGCAGGCCGAATAGCAATCAGTGCAAGAAAAGGAGAAGCAAATCTGAACCTTCTAAAGAATCAGGAAATGAAGATGGACCATCGGCAAAAAGTATGGTGACACTTCAACTGTTTCCAGAGAGTAACGAGAATATTTCGAGCAGGGGTTTTCTACACAGTCTTGAAGATGGTGATGAAAAAATTCGAGACGATGTGTTAGATCATGATAAGATGCTGTGTTTATGCCAGCAGCTGGGAGGCCGGAGAGAGATGTTGGCTCACTCAGAGGGTAAGAGAGTCGAACTCGTTGAATCAAAAAAGAATGTGATCAGGACTCTTCACGGAAAATCACAAGGCCTTTATGCTGATGCCGAATTTTCTAGAAGTGTTGCAAGAGAAGCTGCGCACCTGGAGGGAAATCCGTACGAATGGAAAAGTACGGCACGCGAAAGTGAATCATGGGTTATCATAGAATGTTTTACTGATGCAATCATGGAAGGATTAGGGTTAGGGTTTTCAGACAAAGAAAAGCTCAATAATCTACATATAGATAGAAATCCTGGGTTCGTGTCCGACATTTCCAACAATGTAGTATGGGTTAATGACGCCTACAAGAAGATGGTATTGGGTGAAGAAAATCAAGAATTAGCAGCAGAAGTTAGGGTTTATTTACAGACCAAAGAAAAAAATATGCCCTATTTTTTGCCAGAATTTGCATGCAGGGTGAGGGTTGAGTATAATTGGAATGGACGCAAGTGTACAAGAACAGTGCCTTGTGATGTTTGGAAAATGGAATTTGGAGGTTTTGCATGGAAAATGGATTTCAAAGCTGCACTGAGTTTAGGCCTTTAGAAGGTATATTTTCCTTCCCCAATTTGTTTATACAAATTTGCATAATTATAAGCCATGTTTGATGAGAATTAAAATTAGATTTTTAGTAAATTTTGATAAAAAGTTTTGAAATGTGTTGTTAAAAAGTTGCGGGACTCAAAAAGTATGTGGTTAATATTGATTGTTTGACTTTGACTTAAATTAAAATCTGATTTAAATCAATACCAAATAGAAGCACAGTGTGTTTAGTTATGCTCGAAAGTTAATTTTTTGTAAATAAGTTATGACATTTACTTTGAAGAAAACATATTCTCTCAGTGGAAAAAAGTCACTTTATATATGATAAAATAGTTAACTTAAAAGCCAACTTGACTTGCCGTGAAGCACGCAAAAATGCTCTCAATCCATATAATAGTGTGTAAATTATATTTTATTAATATCTAATCAAACATAGTCATTTCAAAGGACTGTACCGGTGGGTGTTTTTGTGTATGTGTCGAAAGATATCAGGTGGTCGTAGTTAACATAGGGTGCTTGGGAAAAAGATGATCATTTTATTTATTTATTTATTAAGTTTATGCTTTCTTCTTTTTATATGATTTTTTTTTTTTGTTTACTTAAATTTGTGGGGGGAAATTTCTTTTTAGCAAAGTTTAACGGATCTTGGAGGAAGTGTGAATCCGGACAAAAATATTAATATAGTAAAAGTTAAAGACAATTAAATGTCAAGGAAAAAGGTTAAGATTAAAAATGTAAAAAAGGGTAAAACATTGAGGACCACACACACAATATAGCCTCCGTTTGGGAAAAAAATTATGAAAAATTTAGTTTTTAGATAAAAATGAGCGAAAAATAAATGGATAGTACTTGTGATCCATTAAAATGTGTGATTTAAAGATGGTTTATAATTTTTTGATAAAAGAGGCTAATTCTTAAAAGTATTTTTTGAGTAGTTTAATGATTTTGGAGAAGTATTGAGGGAACTTGTTGAAAATATAAATTTAAATGAGCAAATTATTTTTCTCAACAAATATCGACTTTTAGATTATGTGGTTGACATTTTGACAGTCGGATGTAAAGAAAGTGTAGTGCAAAATCACTTTATATGCATTTATTTATTTATTTATTGGGATGTTGGTAACAGTCTACAAGCCTCGTTCGATAGATCCACTAAGACGATTGTTTCTAGTCAACAAACCACGCCTTATTCTTAAAACAATCAAGAGATGGCAAGATAATGATTCTCATATAATGCATGCTGATGCAATTATTTTGATAGGTAAAAATGTTATATCGTGTACGTCTCGAGAGAGGCACACAAAGATTATGGCAGAGGAATTCGAGATAAAAGACCTTGGATTGCATAGATATTATCTTGGTATGGAGATCATTAAATCTATAGAAGAATACTTATTTCATAAGAAAAAAAACAATCGACATGTTCAAAGATTTTGATATTTTATTTAAAATGTGAGCCCACTAAGACACCTATTAATTCCTTCATAGTCATGTTCGAGATATGAGAGCTTGGTTCCCTATGGAATCCATAAGACTGTTGAGAAAAGGGAATTTGCTGATTAGCCTTTATTGTTAAGAAGACAGTGAAGTGATGGGAGTGTGGAAATTGGTATTGCTGACCGATATGAAGGAATATATATATTGAGAATAAATTTGACTAGTAAGAACGAGCTAAATAACAAGGAGATTTTTTGTTAGAATATCCAGCTCTTCATTCTAAAGACTTCTATGTAGTTAGATAGTTTATTAGTTAGTTTTTGTTAGTTTATAAATAGAGCACTTTGTATTCATTGTATTTTATTGGATTCTATTCCAGTCTTCAACATGCAATCATCATGTTGAATCAATCATTTTCTTCCCTGCAGTACGGCAGGTTTCAATTTTGTTTCCTTCTTTATTTTCAAAATGGTATCAGAGTCGGAAAGGCTCTCCACCGTTCTGCTCAAATTTCATTAGATATAATTTTTTTTTACCTCCAATAAATCTCACACATCCAATTCCTGTCCATTCAAGCAAGTGAGAGATTCTACATTGATTTTGCCATCCACAAATGAAACTGAAGATCAACAAAACTCTAGCATTCTAATGGAATATGATTTTTTTTTTTTTTTAGCATTCAATAAGGGCGACCAAGCCTCTCATCAACACGATCCAAAACCAGATCAATTCATCTTCATCAGTGACCTGATTTCGCAGCAATTGACAGAAGTTGATATGTTCAATTCTTCTTCATCAATGAGTTATTCCACCATTGATGATGGATCTGGTTCATTTTCCTACCTCCTGGAGCAGATCAATTACTAGAGATGTTTCTTCTATTCTCTCTAGCTTTGTACTAGAGATGTTTTCGTGGAATTTATTCCAATTCCATTTTCTATGTTCTTCTCCTTTATGGATGTTAATTCATGATTTCTAATTCATGCCAAATCAGAAGATAACTTTGGCTTCAGAGTCAACCTTGTTCTGGAATTGGTTGGCTCACCTCTCAACAGCAGCTCTTTTTTGTGCAACGAGGACCAAAAGAATCTCAACAAATTACTTGATGCTTTTGGTAATTCTTGGTGAACTACCTCGTAAGATGCAGAGAAGCACCTTTGGCACATCCATGTCAGTTTTACAAGTTGATTTGGAAAACAAAACAAGTGTGCCTTCTGAATATCAAATGGATAATATTATGGAGAATGTTTGTGCTTCAAAGTTCTGCCTATAATTCATCTTCATCAAAAACAGACAGCAATTGTGTATTTTCAATACAGAAACAGATGATATTCGATTTTTTTTTTTTTTTGTATACCATAAAATGGTGGAGAAATTGAACCAAAGATCCTTGTGGTATCTTGCAGTCCTTGGTGTGCTTTAGTGCAGATGTAGTTCATATTCCGATTTTTCCTTTCTTCTTTTCGTGTCCCACACTTTAATCTCCAAGATGGATTATTGTTGATCTCCATAGTCTATCTTGAGCGGGTGTGTTAGAATATCCAACTCAACTCTTCATTCTAGAGACTTCTATGTAGTTAGATAGTTAGTTAGTTTTTTTAGACTATAAATAGAGTACTTTGTATTCATTGTATTTTATTGATAGTTTTTTGGATTCTATTCTATTCTTCAACATGATATCATCATGTTGAATCTATCATTTTCTTCCCTGCTGTACGTCAGGCTTCAATTTCGTTTACTTCCTTATTTTCAATATTTTTCCTTTATGTTTAGTGTAAAATCATGTTTATCATTTACAAACAAAATCTTTATTGCGTCAATGTGAGACTTCTCAATTGCCTAAGCACTACCATCATACTTCTTTTTTCCCTTTTGCACCCATATATACTAAGTTGTTTTGGTCTTTGAACATTCATTGTTCAAAGACGACAATTCCATGATAATTTTTTTTAAAATTTCATTGGGTTTTTTTTTTCGCGTGTAGTTTACAGTCACGTTGGGTGGGGTGAATGAGAAAATATTTGACAATATTATGAAAGAAATTAAGTTAAAATAATACTACACAATACCGTGCATAAAACATGTACTTACTCTCTAGTTGGGATTGCTTCGACTGTCCAGGCCTTTTTCTTTTTGAGGGGTGTGTGTATTGGCCATTGGGGTTGGAACATGTGGTCTCATTGTTTCATTTCAAATCTTAAAGTAGAAGAAGCTACACTAAATCTTCTCATATTGCATTTTGTACCTATTTACTCTATGCTCTCTTTTAAATATTTCTTGCTGACAATCTGAGGTAGTTAAATATGTTTGCAAGAAAGAATTACAGGATACTAAGAGAAGAAATTTTAATGTGCTAACTTCGTCTCAGCATCATTTTACCTTCTCTTTTGGTTCATACATGGTGGATCTTTTTCTCCAATATTTGGAATATGTATTGCTGCCTAGCTATACTTCATTGCTGTTTGACATTCAGTTGTCTCTTACTAATTTACTTCTGTGATGCCACTACTGTCTTTACTCTAGCTTTTTTATTGCTTGTTAAAGATTGCATTTTAGCTCTTCAAATTTGGCATTAACTGGGAATCGTGTCTAAGATTACTGGAATGATCTAAACCACTTCTTTTTCTAATTATTCTTACTTTCTGAGTGAATACCTAAAAATCACACGTCGCATGCATTATTGCGTATGGCTAAAAAAAATCTCAATTACTTGTATGGATAAGACCTATATTGTAGAGTATATGACTTGGATCATAGGGATCAATTTCTAGTCGCATAGCTTCATAATAATTCTGGAAAGGTTTCTTAGGCAATAGCATTATAGTGGTAGATTTCATCTGCTAAATCTACCGTCAATGGTTAAAACAAATAAAATGACCAAGTCACAAATCATGAGTAATTGGACGTAGAAAGTGATCAAGACACATGGGTCATTTTAATTTATGACATTTTTATTATCGTTTATTTATTATTTGCTATTTAGGGACAGATTTCTCTTAATGTTTGGAGGTGTCTTATAAAAACTTAAATGCAAGACTAGTTTTAAAGGTTTCAACGGGGTACAATTTGATATTTGTCTTTGGTTAAGTGATATCAAGGTTTTGATGCGGTACCACCAAGCAAGAATGAGAATCCAACACTTGCTTTAGTGGCTTTTGGGTGACGTAAATCCCTTCCTACAACTCATGACTTAAGAGTTTTAACTACAACAAGATGTTCGACCACTTGGCCTTTTGTGTTTATATAGGGTTTTTTCGTCTAAAATCGTGAGCATATAATATCAATAAACAAGTAGTAAAGTGGACCTAAAGAGTCCGAATTATTGTCACACAAAGACCGTTTTATTCAAATATTAATTTAACTTTGTCTAACTTTTATTTGACTAAAAATTAAATCAATGGTTTGAGATTATTAATCTACAAAATACAAAACTACAAAACAAATAAAAAGTGTGCAAATTTAGGACTTGGATTTTAACTTATGCGAGAAATGTGTTAACATTCACGAATTCACCAAACCATAATTCCCTTCATGGTGGTGGAGATATATTATCCAGCAGCCATTTCAGAACCTTCTTTGGTATAAAATATAGATTATGAAGAAATGGATAGATGAAGATCAAGGACCCAAAATATTCTGGAATTTTCTTCAAAAGTCGGTGGTGATTTTTCAAATGTGGCGTCTATAATCTACAACGAAGATAAATAAATGAGGACACTGTTAATACAAAATAGTTTTACCACCCCAGGAATACTGGTATCTGATCAGGTAGGCTTATTTAGTTCGACACACCAAAAACTCAAACAAAAAGGGCCGACTAATGAAAAGAAAGATCTAGACATTTCGTTCTATGGTGAAGAAAATAATAGCGAGACAAATTGTACATTTTCACGATAACCCAACTTCAAGAATTGATAGGCAACACAGTATGTCATGAACTAACAATGCGCCTGTCCGAAACTAGAAATTTGTTCCAAAGGAAATGTATAGAACCCTCAATCAGAGTATTGGACTATCCGATAATTGTCAAGTATCTTTAGGCTCTCAAACTCTTGTACGACAAATTCAATTGTAACTCCCCTTATCTCTATCTATAATTTAGTTGTAACTCCATATCTCTATCTGTAATTCAGTTGTAACTTTCCTTATTTTGCTTCTTAGGAGACCCTCGTTGGTTGTCATATTTTACTATAAATACACTATGTAACACTGTTTGTCATCCAAGCCAAACACTTTCAACCCATTTATTTTTTCCTTTACATGGCATCAGAGAAAAATTAAGCTTACAATTTTTTTCCCTAGTTTACGCTTCTGGAAATGGCCTAACCTGACAAAAACTCTTCTATTTCCTCCACCCTCAGCTTTGAAAGCAACGGCACAAATGAAGCCTTTAACCAGCGTTATCTCTCACCTGTCTTGTTACACCTCATTTCCTACAAGTCAAAAGTCAAGATTTTATTTCAAAGTCAAATGTTCAACTAGTCAAAGTCATAGTCAAATAAGGGCTTATGTGGAATAAATTATTTTATTGAGGTTTACTCTATAATTTACAATAATTGAGGGTTTAAGATGGATTAGATTTGAAGTTGAGGATTTACTTATGTATCATTGGAAGTTAAGGTACTTCTTTTGCATAAGCCCCACTAACTTGGCAATTGAAACCCATTTATTATTATTTTTTTTTTTACACACGCACACGAAGCTGAAGACAGAAAACAGAGACCAAAAATGAAAACGAAAGGAAAAAGGAGAAAGAAAAGAGGAAGAAAAGGGAAAAGAAGGAAGAAAGTTAGGTGCCAATAGAAGCTTAACTTCAAGTTCTTCATTTCTTCAAGAGGTAAAGTAGTAACATTTTTATGGAATAATTTATGTTGAATTTTCAAGGTTCTAATTTGTGGGTTTAATTTTCAGATTAAATTGAAGGAGTACCATTGTTAGTTCAAATTCCTTGATTGATTACCTTCCATTTACATTAAGGTAAGAAATACCATTTTTGGCAAACCCTAGAATTTTAATTGGGTACTTGAGTATATATAGTTAGAGAAATGATGGAGTTGATGAAATACTCACTTGAAAGAATGATTTTATGGAACTAGATGTAAAATAAATGGGTTGTAGTGTTTGTTACTAGTTTTCACAAAGGGATAATTATTTTTATGATTGGGATGGAAGTAATTTTGATGAATTACATGCTAGTGAAGGGATTAGTAGGTGGAATTAGCTCCAATTGATTAAATGAAATTTGAGGAATTTATTCAAGTATGGAGGAATTAAGTTTTAGGAACTTGTATTTAATATTAGGACTACTTAATATTGGCTATGCATATCGTATTGCAGATGGCGACGAGAGGATTGGAAACGTTTATCAGCCAGTCTAACTTGTAACTCGTATTTTGTGAGTGGAAACATTTACTTTTTTAAAAATTAAGAAAAGTAGATCTTATATGCATTGTTTTCAGTACATTATATGAGATATCAAAAAATTATTTATTCCAACATGAGAAATAGATAAACATGATTTTCAGAATATTTATTCCATCTTTTGCAGTGTTTGATGGCACAAAATTTACCTAGAAAACACTTTCCACAAATGGTCCACATGTGCACCAATTCCATGATTTGGTTGAATTGTTTTTCCCACCTTTTTGGTGGGAAACTGAATTCCAGGTGTTTTTTTTTTGTGCGATGGAAACAAATTTTATAACTAATTGTAAAAAAACATTTCACTTTAATGGACAATTTTCATGTAAAACAAAATCAAATGAACACTAAACTTTGATAAAAAAATGATTTTCTAGGAATTTTTTATTTATTTTTATTATTATTTTTTTTTTACTTTTTGGGTAATGGAAACAAATTTTATAACAAATTGTGGAAAAAATTATCACTTTAATGAACAATTTCAATGTAAAACAAAGTCAAACGAACAAAAAAGATACAAAATTTTAAATTTTTTTGAGTGGAAAACTATATTAATCAAACACACTTAATTAACAATTCTCTTAAAAACAAGTTTTAGGCAATTACTTTTTCTACAATTTATTTTCTTTCCCCCCCATTTTCTATCATTGCAATCAAACGGACCCTTAAATCAAATAATTACATTGGCAAAGTATATTAATATTAAATATATCAAGGGAGGTACAGTTATTTTAAAAACAACTGAAAAGTACCCAGATTATTTTACCCACTCTGCACTAATGTGACTGTGTTTCCACAATGTATGCCCAAATTATTAGAGGTCTTTAGGACCTACTCTCGTACACACATAGGTTTTGGGCAGTGTACTAGGGAAATTAGCCTTTGGGGCAGCTCTACGTACGTATGACCAGATTATCAGATTTGAATGGCTCTTTACCTTGTACATCGAAATTACTCTGTACATGAGTAAGACTATTCATTTGGTACTTATTGGTGTGACTCTTTAGTATATCATATTATGTTTATTTAGGTGTAGATTCACATATTTTCAAATATCAGATAATAGTTCATTTCAGAATATAGAATTCGGCTTATTCAGTTACATAAATATGATTTTAATTTACAGAAATGACAGCTTTACACAGATTTTTGTTGATACCAGATTGTCTATACTAGACATATTTTACGGCTGGTTATTCAAAATAAAGAGTAAAAATTTTCTGATTTTAGCTTGTTTCAGTTCTAAAATAAATGATTAGAATTAAGAATTTCTGAAAGCTGTAAGAAAATAAATCAAATTTTCAGTAAATATGTATAAATGAAAAAAGTATATGTATTTGCGAACTATCCACTCACTGAGTTAGAAGCTCATAAATTTTGTCATGTTTTTCCTATTAGGAGGTAGCTGAATTTGAGATACCTGGAATGCTTCTTGAAGTCAAGAGCCTGGTTACCCATCATTTAGTTGCATGATCTTAACCATATTATAGCATGTAATGTATAGTTGGGGACTCATGTTTATTAAACTTTTGGTCTAATATTTTGTTTGATGTGTACTTCGTCAATGGGTTGTTACAACTGATGTAATGCATGCATGTAAGCACAATGTTTTGTAGTAGAAGTGCTCAGTCGAGTTTAATTTCATTTTGATGTAGTTGTGGTGGTATTTGTGGAATTGGTTTTTCCCAAAATATTTGGTATAAATGTCTATATGAGGTTTTTGTTAATTTTCAGGTTGGTTTTATCTAATTCACAGGGGAAACTCTGTCAAAATTTCTACGAAAATATTATAGTCATAGAATAGTCAACCAGTCGTAAAATAGTCTATGTGGCCTTGGTGGTGGGTCTAGCATCTAGCTAGAATTCATCATCGGCGCACTTCACGTCTAGATCCACTAGGGTGACTCAAGACGGGGTCGTGTTAATTGGTATCAGAGCATGGTCTTGTGTTTATAGGCAACACTGCATGTATCTAATGTTCATATAGTATACATTATTGCAGCTGAGTCATTCATGGTGGTGTAGAACTCGCAGGTATCAAAATCCAGTATTTTAAGCTCATGATGCTCCTGAGGGAGGACATTGATGTTCATATATCATACATTATTGTAGGTGAGTCATACGTGGTGGTGGCAGAACTCGCAGGCGTCAAAATCCAGTATCTCAAGCGCATGATGCTCCTGAGGGAGGACATGTTGGAGGGGCCAGTAGGGCCGTATAATCATTTCACCAGTCTCAGGTGCAACTTGACCCTATCACCGACATAATAGTTACAGGTATTGCTTCCTTTCTACCCAATGTCGACATAGATAACTTTATTAAGAGGGCTATGAAACTTGGGTGAAATTTTTATGGGTACATCTAATCGAGTTGATGCTGAACTCTGGATCAAGACTTTGAGAGTATATTTGATGTGATGGAATGTTTAGATGATAAGAAATAACACATTGCTATAATTTTATTGAATGGAGGAGTTGCTGATTGGTGGGTTTCATTTCGATGTCGATATCGATATCCAGATCCTAGTGTTATCACCTGAATTATTTTCAGGGAGGCTTTCTATGAAACGTACTATCATCCATTTTATCATGATGTAAAACAAAATGAGTTTTTAAGATTGGTTCAGAGGTCTATGTCGGTTACTGAATACCATGTAAAGTTTGTAGAACTGTCCAAGTATACCATTGCTTTGGTTGATGATGAGAGAGATAGGTGTAGACAGTTCGAACAAGGATTGAGAGCAGAAATCTGAGCTATGGTTACTGCTCATGGGCATCAAAATTTTGGTATGTTGGTAGAGGCATCATTGAGGGTTGAGATAGCCATTCGAGAAGGACATAATCAAGGAGCACAGATGACCTTCCGAGATGGTAGCAGTCAGACAAGAACTTCAGGAGAAAGGTCCAAGAAGAACAGAAAAGGATTTTGGCCAGGTGTTACTAACTCTGGTGGTTTTAAATCTAAGTCTAGGAGTTCTAGGTCTAGTTAGGGATCAGGCCATAGTCAGAGTTCTGTACAGCAATTCATGGGGAGTGATTCTCATGTTCAGGGTTCTACACAGAGATTTTAGGGAGCGAGGCAGAATGAGGGTTCTGATCACTGTAACTTTCCACAATGTCAATCTTGTAGGATGTTTCATCCAGACGAGTGTCTAAGAGGAGCTGGAGTTTGTTATTAGTGTGGTCAAATGGGACACATAAGGAAAGATTGTCCAGCCTGATCTCAACAGATTGGAGCATCTCAGATAGTATTTTCTCAGCTAGGATCATTACGCCAGACAGAACCGAGATCAGAGAGCTACATCAGCAAGGTCGACGAGGGGTGGATAACCTAATATTGCTAGGGACAGTACTTCTAGACAAGGATCCCAGGCAGGTTGATCCAACACTCGGGGCAAATTGTTTGCTATGACTCAGCAGGAGGCAGATAAGTCACCAGACGTGGTCGTAGGTATGTTATCTATTTTTGGTAGAATTGCTTGTTCTTTAATTGATTCGGTCACACGCATTCCTTTATTTCTCATACACTTGCTAACTATGGTGATCAGATGTCAAGCTTTTAGACAGTGAATTGATAATAGCAACTCCCGTAGGGGAGTTACTTTTAGCTAATCGATTATACAAAGATTGTGGGATTAGAGTGAACAATCATGAGTTGAAAGTAGATCTAATTCCACTCGATATTCATGATTTTGACGTTATTTTGGGGATGGACTTTTTATCTAAACATCGTGCTTCAATATTTTCGCAAGGAAGTAGTATTTAGAAGTCCAGAAGAGCTTGAAAAAGTTCTCATTGGAGAGCGCAGAATTTTTCCATCTTGTGTGATATATGTCCTAGATGCCCGGATAATGTTAAAAAAGGGTTGTTATGCATATTTAGCTCATGTAATTGATACGCAGATCACTAAGCTGGAAATTGACGATATATCAGTTGTGCGAGATTTTCCTGATGTCTTTCTAGAACACATTCGGAGATTACCCCCAGATAGGGAGATTGAGTTCTCTATTGATTTGATCTCCGAGACACCACCTATTTTACGGGTACCTTATCGGATGGCCCCAAAAAGTTGAAGGAATTAAAGGTACAATTATGAGATTTGGTTGATAATTGTTTCATTAGACTCAGTGTATCCCCATAGGGAGCACCTGTATTATTTGTGAAGAAGAAAGATGGCACAATGAGATTATGTATTGACTATAGCCAGTTGAATAAGGTGACTATTTGCAATAAGTACCTTTAGTTGATAAGGATTTCATTAGTCCCAGTGTATCCTCATGGGGAGCACGTGTTTTATTTGAGAGGAAGAGAGATGGCACAATGAGATTATGTATTACTATAGATAGTTGAATAAGGTAACTATTCGTAATAAGTACCCTCTACCCCGTATTGACGATTTATTTGATCAACTTCGAGGTGCTTCATTATTTTTGAACATTGATTTGCGTTCAAGGTATCATCAGCTCAGAATTAGAAGTGTTGATGTACCAAATACTACTTTCAGATCTCGATATGGCCATTATGAATTTTCGGTGATGCCGTTTGGATTAACTAATGCCCCGATTACATTTATGGACTTGATGAATAGAATGCTTCACCTATATCTGGATAAATTTGTTATTGTCTTTATTGATGATATATTGGTCTATTCTCGCAGTCGTGATGGGCATGCTGTGCACTTGAGGATTATTTTGCAGACTTTACGAGATAAGCAGTTGTATGCTAAGTTCAGCAAATGTGAATTTTGGCTGGATAAAGTTGTGTTTCTAGGTCATGTTATCTTTGTTGAAGGTATATATGTAGATCCTATAAAAATAGAGGCAATGATGAAATGGGAAAGCCCTACTAATGTGACAGAGATAAGGATAGCAGGTTATTACCATCAATTTATAGAGGGATTCTCCAAAATTGCCCTTCCCTTGACCAGTTTTACTCGAAAGGACTCTAAATTCGTGTGGACTGAGCAATGCTAGAAGAGTTTCAAGAATTGAAGAATAGATTAGCTTCTGCTCTTGTACTTACTCTTCCTTCACCAGGTGAAGAGTTTACAGTGTACAGTGATATTTCATGCCAAGGTTTGGGTTGTGTTTTGATGTAAAATGGAAAGGTTATAGCTTATACTTCAAGACAATAGAAGAATCATGAGATAAACTACTCGACACATGACCTAGATTTAGCTGCAGTGTTGTTGGCATTGAAAATTTGGAGGCATTATTTGTATGGTGAGAAATGTTAAATATTTACGGATAACAAGAGTTTGAAATATATCTTTAATCAGAAGGAATTGAATTTGAGACAAAGAAGATGGTTGGATTTGATAGAGGATTATGATTGTAAGATTGACTACCATTCGAGGAAAGCTAATGTGGTTGC